TGGGTGGGACGAATGGTCGAGTGATATGTAATAAAATGGGAAAGGGAAAAATGTTGGTTGAACGAGGATGGGAAATGATAGAAGGGTTGAAAGAAAAAAGGTTGTATCGAATCGGTAAAATGGTGGTCGGTGTGTTTGCCTCGTTTGATAATAGGGCAGAGGGGTTAAACGTGGAACAGGGATGGGAGTATGTTGCGCGCGAGTCCTCGCTGAGAGAGGAAACTTACGATTTCAGAGCTTCCTCGTGAACAAGAAGCAAAGGGAGGCCGCGGCCGCAGCAAACGGGGCCGTACCTGGTACACCCGGATACAGGAGCTGGTGAGATTTTTTTCGAGATTGGTGATTCTCGCGTGCGGGTTCACCCGTCCTCGGTCTCTTCTCGCTTTCTCCTATTTTCCTCGAGTACATCCTCTCGCGATACTTTGCGCTTTGGCCTATAACCCGTTTGCTTGCTCGACCGCAATTTCGCTTTTATCTCTCTCTCTATCTCTCTCTCTATCTCTCTTTCTCTCTCTCTCCTCGACTATTTCTCTGTTTATCTCCCTCTCTCTCTCTCTCTCTTTCTCCGTATCCCGCCTTCGATCCCCATTTTTCTTCGACGAGAGCGCTACTTTAGCACGCTTTCCAAAAAGGTCACAAAGGGTGCGTGTACTCGAGTAAGGGAAGTGGAGAAGGGCCGAGCCGGGTGATTTCGAAACGATTCGAAACGATTCGGTCGAACGCTCGAATACTCGAATGCTCGATCGATCGAGCGAACGACTCGAAACGAATTGTACAAGAAGCGGCGAATTTGTTGGTCAGGTTGCAGCCGCAATCAGCGGAATCCGCGGGGGCCACGAATGCTTCGCATCCCTACCGGATGCCGCAGATGCTGCAGGAAAAATTCGCCGATGATTTTCCTCTACGGAAAACAGGTATGTATACGCGCGAACGTGCACGCGTTTCTTGTACCATAAGTTCTCGTGGTGTCGAGTGATAAGCATATATTTGGTGGAAGGTAGTCTCTTTCTATGTGTGCCTATGTACGATAGTAGAATGCCTAAACTAAAGCATGGTTTTTGCGATTCCAAATCGTTTTGCCTGTAAACGCGCATACAGGCGCACACGCGCGTACACACACACGCACACACACACGGAAACGATAGAGACACACAGAGACGAGCGTACACGGACCGAAAAGCCATAGACACGGAACCTGCATCCGATAGACCGCCATTTCGTTTCCCCGATCGCGCGCGAGCTTGTCGTCGACCAAGCGTCGACGATCCTTTTCGTCTGCCGAATTCGAATTCGCGGTTTTACCATCGCGAACGCGCGTGCGCAGAGACGACAGGCTCGCGAGTCGATTGTTCTTTTTTCTCCTGGACCACGCACCGCGTACTACGTCTATTATATCTCTATCCTTGCTTCGTGCGATTGTCCTATATTCCTCTGCGTTCATCCCGAACCTCTGTCACCGTTTTACACACTACTGCGGCCCAATACGACGACGACCAACAACTAACCCTGGCTAAAATTGGCCAGCCTCGGAGCCGAACCTGCTGAAGGTGCGACTAAAGCAACGCGTGGAGAGGAACATGGCTGCGTCGAGAAATTCACCCCTGATGGCACGTCGGAAGGATCGCCTGCTGTCGCACCTCAAGCGGAAGTCACTGCTAGCAAGTACGTCCTTGGATCCAGCTTAATCGAAATTCATTCGATCGTCGAGTTATCGACTGTTCCTGCGTGAGCATTAGCAAACGATTCGTTGCACCCGTGTTTTAGATTAATCGATCGTTGATTTTTGCCTTTTTGCCAGTGTCCAGTAACAGCATGTCGACAACGTACGTTACCGATTAACATATCTCCACGGAGAGGGAGAGAGAGAAAAGAAAAAGAAAAAGAAAAAGAAATCGCCGAGTGCATCGTGTCGCGTCTTTTCGTCCTCGTTTCTCGTGTCGTCCCCTCCCGTTTCGTAGTAACGCTCAAGAGTATTTGAACCGTCCACTGTTCGAGGAAACAGAGAGAAAGAAAGAGAAAGAGAAAGGGAGAGAAAGAGAGAGAGAGAGAGAGAGGGGGGGGGGATTGCAAATGTTCGGCGAGCACGGGGAAGAGAACCGAAGGCGAAACGATGCGCGCGATGCGTCCCTTTTGCGCGACGGAATTCGGGACAGCAACGGGCTCGAAACGAACGGGTTGGAGACACAGACTCGATCGTTTTCCCGAATTCCAATCTCGTACGCGACGAGTTGCAGGCAAACCACGCGTCGCTTATCGCCATTCGCTGATCGAACCTTTTCCAGATTCTAGCAGTAATCCCGAGTCTGGGCCTAATTCACCGCCGACCGTGAACAACTCTCAAGCGAGTCCCACCGCGGGAGGTAATACAACGGCGATTCAAGAGGTGAGTCTTGCACGGTAAAAGGATTAATCCATTGTCCCATTAGGCCATCGCGTACTAGCTACTATTAAACGTATATTCGTTTGCAGGAAACGGAGAACACCGGTTTCGGTGGGCCATTGACCAGCAGTAGTCAGCAAGGTAGCCTCTCGGATCTGTCGCTGTTCAGTTCACCGTCCATGCCTAACATCTCGCTGGGACGACCTCACGTTCCATCCGGTTCTAGCACGGTGAGTCGCGTAATCGTCCGAGGACGTCTCTAGATTTGCAAATCTCTGTGGATGGGTCGCGATAGCGACGTCGCAGAGTCTTCGGAGACGATGCGCGCTCCGTTCTAAAGGACAACACCGGTTTTCGCTTCTATTCGCAGACCGGCACGAAATTGGCAACTGTCTCGGAGGCGGAGGTACGGGCAGCATTCACCGCGCGATTGGGGATGCCGCTCACCGGTCAAATGTTGCCTGGCACCTTGCCTTTCTATCCGTCGTTGACGGTGATCGAAGGAGGAGACGCAACGTCCACGGGTTACGTTCACAAACAGATGCAAAACATGGAGCATCCGTCGTTAACGAATCGGCAGCATCCGTCCGCGGTATATCACGGTACCGCGACGGCAACACCCATCACGGACACGCAAGTAGCGCATGCGAGGCTGCAAAAGGCTGGTCACCGGCCTTTAGGTAGTATGTTCTCTCTTCTTTGCTGGCAGCATATTTTTCCAACGCGCGTGCCACCACTGCTCTTCACCGGTCTACAATCACTCCCTCCGCGATTCGCGCGTCTTTTCTCCGATCGCACGATCCTCGAAAGCGGCTAAAAGTGGCTAAAAGTGGCTAAAAGTGGCTAAAAGTGGCTAAAAGTGGCGGGAAATTGTAACGGAAATAACACACGCACTGGCACGCGCGAACACCGTCTCGTTGGCACGTGGGTTTTGATCGCGCGTGAGATCACCTGGTGCCTCGTTGGTACAAACTCGACAATTCCGCTCACGCGACCGTTTGGTCGCTCTTCCCGTTCCCATAGGTAGGACTCAATCCGCGCCGTTGCCTTTGGGTCATCCGATGCTACAAGGTGGCATTATCACGCCGCAAACCCATTACGAAGAGTACCTGGCAGAGAAGCAACTGCACGATCAGCAACAGGCGCACAACTACCTAAAACAGCAGATTCGTCAAACCGTGCTGACGCGAGTCGGCTCTCGGGGACAAGCGAATCAGTTGGACGAAGCTCCGGAGACCGAGGAGTCCGAGGTGATAGATCTTACCGGAGGGAAGAAGGATTTGTCGGAGGAGAGCGAGATTTCGAAACAGCAACGAGATCGCGAACAGTTTCTTCAGCAGCAGAGAGATCTCATGATGAGACACACCTTGCAGATCTCGAACGAGTCGTCAACGGCCTATGGCGGGAGCGGTAGTGGGGCAGTTAGCGGAAGCAGGAGTAACCAGCCGAGTGCCAGACCATTGTCCAGAGCGCTGTCTAGTCCGTTGGTACACTTGGGTAAGCTACACCACTTCTTTTTCTTCTTCTTCTTCTTCTTCTTCTTCTTCTTCTTCTTCTTCTTCTTTTTCTGCTCCATCTGGTACTGCTACTATTACTATCACTATCATTCATTACTACTACTGTCACTACTACTGCTACTATCGCTACTAGCGCTATCGCTGCAACTATTGCCATTACTATTACTATTACTATTACTATTGCTATTATTATTACTATTACTACTACCACCACCCGTCCCCGTGCACGTTTGTTCGAACAACGACGATGACGTTGCTCCTCTCTTTGCTCGGCGCGCGACGCAGGTCCTCAGGGAACTCAAGCCACCGGCGATCTGTTCGCGCGCACTTCTTCCCACCGACCTACTACCGGCTTGGCCTACGATCCGCTAATGTTGAAGCATGCCTGCGTCTGTGGCGAAACAGTTCGAGGTCATCCTGAACACGGAGGCAGGCTACAGAGCGTTTGGGCACGACTCTCGGAAACCGGCTTGTTACAGCGATGCGACCGAATACGTTCGCGCAAAGCCACGCTCGAAGAGATTCAAACGTGTCACAGCGAGGCTCATGCTCTTCTCTTTGGTGAGTCCGTTACGTACACGGCGCTATTCTTTCCCTTCCTTCTTCTTTGTTCTTTCTACCCCCTTTGTATCCCTATTCAACCGCATCCACCGGCAGTTCTCTCTCCTTTACACGCCTACTACGTTCCAAACCTATCCCGACTCTTTTCCCGTCATTACATCCTCGCCATGTACAGTACATGTTCAGTAGAGAGTAAAATATGTCCTTTGCGCAGGAACGAATCCGATGAATCGACAAAAGTTGGACGTGTCGAAGCTCTCTCAACTGCCAATCAAGAGTTTCGTACGGTTACCCTGCGGTGGAGTAGGCGTTGATTCCGATACCACGTGGAACGAACTCAATACCGCTCCGGCCGCTAGAATGGCTGTCGGCTGTGTCGTCGATTTAGCCTTTAAAACCGCCATGAGTGACATTAAGAACGGTTTCGCCGTCGTTCGACCGCCTGGACATCATGCCGAAACCAATCAAGCCATGGGTTTCTGTTTCTTCAACTCGGTCGCAATCGCTGCGCGATTGCTTCAGCAAAAGCTCGATATTCGAAAAATCATGATCCTGGATTGGGTAAGAAAACCCGTCTGTCCCTGTCTCACCGCGTACACGCGTCCTCGCTCCGCGTTTATTCGTCGTCGTCGCATGAAGCGGTAACAGTTGCTCGTTCATCGAAATGGAAGAATTTATGGTTCGTTTGCTTTCTGTTTATTAGGATGTTCATCATGGGAATGGAACGCAACAAATGTTCTATGACGATCCACGCGTGCTCTACCTATCGATACACAGGCACGACGAAGGCAACTTCTTCCCAGGAACAGGTGGACCTACCGAGTGCGGTGCAGGAGAAGGCTTGGGTTACAACGTGAACGTAGCTTGGTCCGGTGGATTGAATCCTCCGATGGGCGATGCCGAATATTTAGCCGCGTTTCGTACGATCGTCATGCCAATCGCGAAAGCGTTCGATCCGAGCATCGTGCTCGTCTCGGCTGGATTCGATGCTGCCGTTGGCCACCCCGCGCCTCTCGGAGGTTACAAAGTTAGTCCGGCCTGTTTTGGAAAGATGACGCAGCAACTGCTCGGGTTGGCGAACGGTAAGGTTGTTCTTGCTCTCGAAGGTGGTTACGATTTGGCCGCGATCTGCGATTCTGCCCAAGAATGCGTGCGTGCGCTACTTGGAGACGAACCGAGTCAACTTAGGGAAGAGGAATTGACAAGAACACCTTGTCAAAATGCTGTCGACACGCTGCAAAAGACTATCGCTGTGCAGGTACGATTCAAACAACTGTCTCTCTCTCTATCTCTCTCTTTCTGTCGACACGCTGCAAAAGACTATCGCTGTGCAGGTACGATTCAAACAACTGTCTCTCTCTCTCTCTCTCTCTCTCTTTCTCTCTCTCTCTATCTATCTATCTATCTATCTATCTATCTATCTATCTATATGTCTATTATCTTTTATGAAGATCGTTTCGATTTCCACGTTTGGTTTTTATCGTTGAGACAGATGTCGCATTGGCCTTGCGTCAAGTTGAACGCGCATACGGCATCGATGAGCGCGATCGAAGCTGGACAGAAAGAACGCGATGAAACCGAGACGGTCTCCGCGATGGCCTCCCTATCGATGCAGCAGCCTACCAATTTAACGTAAGTGTTATCCGGCTTATCGTTTTCGACTTGCTTCCTAGCTAGTCTTTGCTTATTCTCTTCGTTGCTCCCATTTGCTCCCGTTTGCCCGAATTGCACGAAATACGATCGTTCGATGCGATTTTTCCAGGACTACCCCAGAACATTCCCGAGAAGTTTCCGAGGAGCCGATGGAACAGGATGACGCCAAATGAAGAAAGACGCAAAGCTGCTCGTCGATCGTTTTTGGAAATAGTCACGCGGCTATCACTGTGTTTGCATCGTTTCTTTGTTCAACATGAACGACAAGTGACACGGAACCGCTGTGCTGCGAATTGCAACAGCTGCTGACACTCTTGTCATCGCTATCGCTATCGTCTTCGCCATCGTCATCGTCATCGTCATCGTCATCGTCATCGTCATCGTCATCGTCATCGTCATCGCCGTCGTCATCATCGTCGACGTCGTCGCCACCATCATTGTCGTCATCGTTATCGTTATCGTTATCGTTATGGTCATCGTGTTTGCTATGCCAACACCGTGTCGTATAATCGATAATAAAAGCAAGCCTTTATGCACCTCTTCCGCTTCGCTTTCGCACGCTGTTTATCTAGCGTAGCTTGACCGAGCGGAAATCGCGAAATTTGCGAAACTAAGCTCCTGGACTAAATCTAAAAGACAGTAGATTTAAGTGTTTTCTACGCTTTCACGTGAAATTATCCTAGAGATGCGTAGTGATATGCGTTCTCGCGGCCTCGCCTTTTACACATTTCACGTTTACCTTTCTTTTCTCGATTACCGTGCACACGAATCTGGCAAATGCGTATAGCTTACTGCGAGTCCGATCAGTAAGAAATCGAAGAAACTATTAGAAACGAGACGGCACACGAACAGTCGGGTGAAGAAAGCAGCAACGCTGTTTAAAGCGATGCTAGCCAGGTGAAGGCGAAAAAATAGTAGCGAAAGCGGTGACGGGAGCGGGAGCAGGTGCCTGATGTACAGCGGAAAAGAAAAAAAGATTAAAAAGAAAAAGAAAAAGAAAAAGAAAAAGAAAAAGAAAAATGGAGCGTTCTATGTTTTCGTCCTAGGACAACGTTTCGTTTTACATCGTCTTTCTTCGAGCGGCATAGCGCGATATTTGGTTGTCTTTTTGTCGCAAACAAAGGCTGGTGTGATTTTTGTGATATTTTGTAAAAAGCAGAAATTTGTGACGAACTGTAATTAGTTAAAGGTGTATAAGTGTACGCAAGAGTTTATAATGTTGTTAGATCTAGGGTGAAAGAACGCGCGCGTATGTGTGTGTAGGCATGTGTAGATGTGTGCAAGAAAAAAAAGGAAAGAGAATATATGTAATCGAAATAGGAGCATTTATTTTTATGCCGTGCATTTTATGAAGATACGGAGAAATGCGAGCGAATTTATAGATTGACAGTTTCCGCGAGCCCGTACGTTGCGTGTAACGTACATCGCATACGGTATAACGTGCGCGCTTTCGCGTATGTGTGTGTGTGTGTGTGTGTGTGTGTGTATGTATGTACGTATGTATGTATGAATGCACATACGTACATGCGTATATACATATATGTATAACGTATGTCGCACACGGTGAAACAAAGATTATAACGCGCGTATCAAAGATTTGAGCACGCAGACCGTATAATATGCGCGAAAGGAATAAGCGCGCGTCGAGTACAAGAATTACATGTGTATATTGGATGTTTATGTGTCCGCAAGAATCTCAAGTGTTCGTCGTGTATCGTCCCATATTTTTACCAAAAAGTTTGAAAATATCGAGCGCAAAATGTTCTTTTCGGTCGTTTCGTGTCGCCAACAACTTGCTTTCTCCCTCTATGATGTCATCCTCTCTTTCTCTCTCTCCCTCTCTCCGTTTATTCCGATTCAAAATCTCGTACCATTACGGTTATTGGATTCCTCTCGCTCCGCTCCTGCGCTGTGACCGCGTGTCGATTATGCTCTGTTTTTATTTCACCAATGCGTTACCTCGTTCTCCAACCCCCTCCTCCATATACTTAATTCGCGATTAGTATTTCCGTTGCCGTCATTGCTATTTCGTCTGCTCTTGGAATTTCAATTATCCGACTCGATTCGACCGAACTCGATTCGTTATTACTGATTCCGACATCGCGCGTGATGTTTCTTCGGAAGTTGTTGTTGACGTTTTTGCGAGGATTTTATTTCTTTCGGGCAAAAGAACTTGCAACATTCCGGTATCGTTCATAAAATATCGATACAAATTAGATGTAAATCGTTGATTCGCATCGAAAGCCGACTCTAATAAATAAACAAAATAAGAAACTTAAAGTCTCGAAGAATAAAATTGGGATAAAAGTGTTACGATATTAATCATAGCACGTGTATGAATATGTCCATATTGCATAAGCTTAAATGTATTAGTCATACATTTTTTTATGTATATATAAATGTACCTCGTAAAGTAATTTTAAATAAAAACTATAGTCATTGTGTTACGCATATATTACCGACGATACATGCGTGTAATGTCTCGTGATAAAGCAAGGATAACGACTGTTCTCCATTGATAGAAACGAGCTGTCGCGTATTCGCTGGAATTCGGACAAATAACCTATATGTAAAGTAACTCGAGTTCCTTTCGGATAATTCCATGTTCTCGGTGGCGCGTTATATTCGACGGGACATCATCGCAAGGTACTGTAAATTTACTCTCTCGTATACACGATTAGTTGGATATCTTCTAAATTTATTTTCTTTTTTCTTTTTTCGTCTTATTCATTGTTTTTTTTTTGTTTTTTTTT